CAGAATCAGTGCTGTATTTCAAATACTTCAACTGACTGGAACTTCCAAGCATATGATGACCTCATACCTCGGGATCTAATTCTAGAGCCTTCTGAAGCTATTCCTGGGGCACAGTGATGAAAGGAGCTGGGCACATTCCTCAGCCCCAGGCTCAAAACAAACAAGCCCAGTACAAACCCATGCCATCCTCCCATCCCACCACATATCGCCATATATCTCTCAAACTTCCTGAGCCCAGTACAAACACATCCCATCCTCCCATCCCACCACATATCGCCATATATCTCTCAAACTTCCTGAGCCCAGTACAAACACATCCCATCCTCCCATCCCACCACATATCGCCATATATCTCTCAAACCTCCTGAACCCAGTACAAACACCACCTGGAAAGTCTCCGATAAGGAGACAGCCGTTCAAAGTTTTACTGAAAGCGCGGGAACCAAAAGAATTCCTTTGTTCCCCTGTAACTTTCGGGCTATAAAAAGCAAACACTTGCATTGTTCAAGGCCCTCTTGTATGCTGTGGAATGGAGGGACCAGGTTCGAACTCGTAGTAAAGATCCTTGCCGCTTGGCTTTGACTCTGGACTCTGGTGGTCTTCTTTGGGGAACAAACGGTCTGGGCATAACAGTGACATTTCCTCTGTTACTGCCATTCTCACAAAGGAATGCAGAGTAAGATGTTTATGTCCCCAACACACGAGGATATGCCACAGTAGACACATTCAAGCGTAGGCACAGTCACATTTTTCTCTTCTTCCCCTCCCACCCTCTCTTCTTTCCCTCAACTCTGAAGATGGCCCTTCTCCTTTTGACAGCTCCCTCCCAGTCCCCATGTGTCTCCTCCAGGATTCCATACCACCCCATTGTTCCTTTTCCTGGGTTTTACAGTAGTCTCTCTACTGGCTTCTTTTCCTCAGGCTCCAGACATGTCTAAGTCGGCTTATAAAACAATTACAGTTTAACAATTATAGTTAAGCATATTTAATTTTATATAAAATAATATCAGATAAAATTTAATAGAGCAATTATTTAAAAAACTAAACACTACATAAATACATTTAATTGTAAAAATATAATATTGAAATATTATTTGATCATCATAAAAGGGTTGGACACATGTCAATGGATCACATGTCAATGATCAATTTTAAAATGGTCAATTTTTAAAATTCTGCAGAATTACTTATTTTTAAAATAGACTTCATCTTTTAGAACAGTTTTAGATTTACAGATAAATTGAGAAGACTATACAGTGTTCCTATATACCCTGTACCCAGTTTACCCTTTTATTTACATATTATTATGGTACAAAATATATGGGTGTTATGAACACTTTAACAGCATTAATTCTTCCATACAAGTATGTGTTTTCTAGAGAAATGTTTCTCTATTCAAGTTCTTTGCCCATTTTTTTAAACAGATTATTTGGTTTGTGCTATTGAGTTTTAGAAACTGCTTATACATATTTTTTAAAGTAGCCCCCTATCATATACATAACTTGCAAATATTTTCTCTCATTCTATAGGTTACTTTCAGTCTGTTGATTGTTTCATTTGTCATGCAGAAGCTTTTTCATTTTATGCAGTTCTGTTTGTCTATTTCTGCTGTGTTGCCTGTGCTTTTGATGTAGTATCTAAGAAACAATTGCTGAGGTCAATATCAAGAAGCTTTCTCTCTCTGTTTTCTTCTAGGAGTTGTGTGGTTTCAGATCTTGTAGTCAAATCTTTGATTCATTTTGAGTTGATTTTTGTGTATGATGAAAGATAAGGGTCCAACTTCATTTTTTTCAGATGTGGTTGTAGTTTTACCAACGCCGTTTATTGAAGAAACAAGTCTTCCCCAATTTTGTGTTCTTGGCACTGATATCGAAAAATGCCCTTGGAATTTTGATAGAGATGGCATTGACTCTGTAGATAACTTTGGGTGTTATGAACATTTTAACAATATTAATTCTTCCATACCATGAACACAGATTTCTTTCTGTTTATATGTTTCCTCTTTCATTTCCTTTGTCAACATATTATAATTTTCAGTTGACATGTCTTTCACCATTTTGGTTAAGTTTATTCCTGTGTATTTTATTTTTTCTGTTGCTAATTGTAAATGAGATTGTGTTCTTTCCCTTTTTCACAGTTTGTTGTTTGTAAATAGAAATGCTGCTAATTTTTGTATGTTGATTTTGTATCCTGCAACTGTACTGTACATTTGAGGAAGTGCTTACTTCTTTAGACTTTGTAGATTGGTTTTGTCAGGGTCAGACCTTTTCCACGTAGTTCAGCGTGCAGTTTTGGCTAAGCCAGATGGTGGCACATAGGATCAGGCATGTTGTGCCACCAGGGTCCCTGGTCAGGCAGGACCCACTGCCAGTGCTCTGTGGCTGAGTGGTGCCCACTGGTTGTGCTCTGCTATCTGGCAGGATCAGCTGACTCAGCACCATGGTCAGTTGGGGCTAGTTGGGGGAATGTCCAAAGTTGAGTATGGTTGTCTAGGGGGATTTCTACAGTCAGGCAAGGTCAGTGACTGGGCTTCAAAGTCAGGCGGGACCAGTTGGAAGAGCCCTGTAGTTAGACAGAGACACTAGTGGAGCTCCACAGTAAGATGGGACATTTGGCTGGGCTCTGGGCTCTGTGGTCTGACAGGGCTGCTATCTGGGCTCTGTGTTCAGGTGAGCAGGGCTTCTAGCTAGGCTCTACATTCAGGTGGGACTGCTGGTCATGCTCCCTGATTGAGCAGGTGCTGGAAGTGCTCCCTGATCTGGCAGGGCTGCTGGCTGGGCTCCCTGGCATGACAGGGCTACTGTCTGGACTCTCTAGTCAGGTAGAGCCACTGAGTGTGCTGCGTCATTGGATAGAGCCAGTTGGAGGACCTTCACACTTAGGCAGGGCTGGATGAGTGGACTCTGGTTTGGCGAGGCTGCCCATGGGGCCCTGTTTGGGTAAGGCCACTGGTGGAAATAGGGAGACTCCACAAAGATCTGCATGCTGCTGCTGAAATTCCCACAACTCTTTTTCTTTGTTCATAGCTCTCCCCTGTCATTCTATCCAGGCCAATCCCCTGAGTATTCCATATGCAGTGAAACCGATGTGGGGCTCTTCTGTATGTCTCTGATATGCTGGGGAAATTGAACAGCCACCTTAGTCTCTCTTTCTCCCACTGGAGAAGTGATAGACCAAGGGGATCTTTCTTGGCATGGCTCTGTGCTGGCTTGCTGGAGGGGCAACACGGGCCAAAGTGAAATCATTCCTCTTACCTCTTTTAATATAGCTTTTCTGTTTCTATGCTCTACTGGGCGCTGCAATTTTATCCCAGTGATCTAGACTTCTCACAAAGGCATTCTTGTCTGTGAATAGTTACTAACTCTGTAAGAAGACTAGAGAATTTCTGTGAAGGGTGTTGGGCTGGGGCCCTCCCATTCTGCCATTTTGCTGAAACCCGTGCATGTAGTTATTTTTTGTTTAAAAAAAAAAAAAACTATCAAAAACTCCTTTTGTGGGAAATAAGACATTTATAAGCGATTTCAATATTTTCCTCTGGTTAATTCACCTTCTTGCTAGAGAAGTTTGAGAAGATCTTTTTGAAAGCTTTCATTTTTTTCAGTAATTACATTGAGAGCAAACTGTAGTGTGTGTTTTTTTCCCAAAGAAAATGTTTTTAATTCTTTTTTTTATTTTCTAGAAACTGATTAACACCTGAATTAAGTTCAACTTTGTCATGTTCATATTTCACTTGTTTAGAAAGTTTTTAAACCAGAGTAAGAATTTTTATGTTTATGATTCCATGTCTATGCTCAATCGACTTTTGTTGTTCTCGTTTAGAAGAATTTTGGAAGTATAGAAGAATGTTTTATAATAAATCAAATGTCTGACTAAACATTTTAGTGTAGTATATTAAGACATCTAAAGATGTTAATGGTTCTTTTTTAAATCTTAATGTTATTATATCAAAAGAATATCAATGTCTTGTTGGTACCTAAAAACACCATGGTCTACCAGAATATTGAAAAATAGTATTGTGATCTCAGTTTCTTATCCAGAATTCTTCAATTAGATAAGTCATACAGAATCTGGAATTGTTACTCTAACTCTCTTCTCTTTGAGAAAACAAAGTAGAAATTTTCTTCCTTCTATGGAAAAATGAAGAAGGTAAAGTAGCATTCCTCTCTAACACCTTTTCATCTCTTTAAATAAAGCACAGGTTGGGCGCGGTGGCTCACCCTTGTAATCCCAACACTGGGAGGCTGAGGCGGGCGGATCAGGAGGTCAAGAGATTGAGATCATCCTGGTCAACATGGTGAAACCCTGTGTCTACTGAAAATACAAAAATGAACTGGGCATGGTGGCGCACTCCTGTAGTCCCAGCTACTCAGGAGGCTGAGGCAGGGGAATCGCTTGAAGCCAAGAGGCGGAGCTTGCAGTGAGCCGAGATCGCGCCACTGCACTCCAGCCTGGGCGACAGAGCGAGACTCCGTCTCAAAAAAAAAAAAAAAAAAAAAAAAAAGCCCACAAACTTTTTACTCACATCAGCAGCCCCCTAGTTACCTCTTCAACATCATCAAATACCATTCATCTCCTTGTCATGACACTTCGGCCACACTGGTTTTCTTTTTGGTTCCTGAATTGCTAGGCTCTTTTCTACCTGTGGACCTTTGCAAAGAATGGTATCATTGCAAGAAATATTTTTTTCTCTAGAGCTGTGTCAGCTGGTTTATTTTTTTTAACTTTTAATTTTCATGGGTATATAGTAAGTGTATATACTTACGGGGTACATGAAATACTTTGATAGAGGCATGCAATGCATAATAATTACATCGGGAAAATGGGGTATCCATCACCTCAAGCATTTATCCTTTGTGTTACAACCTCTTATACTCTTTTTATTATTTTAAAATGTACAATTAAACTATTATTGACTATAGTCACCCTGCTGTGTTACCAAATATTAGGTCTTATTCATTCTTTCTAATTATTATTTTGTATGTATTAACCATCCTCACTTCCCTCCCACAATCCCCCCTCATTCTTCCCAGCCTCTGGTAACTATCCTTCTACCCTCTCTATCCCTATGAGTTCAATTGTTTTAATTTTTAGGTCCCACAAGTAAGTGAGAACATGCGAAGTTTGTCTTTTTGTGTCTGGCTTATTTCACTTCACATGATGACCTCCAATTTCATCCATGTGGTTACAGATGACAGGATCTCATTCTTTTTAATGACTGAATAGTGCTCCCTTGTGTAAATGTGCATTTTCTTTATCCGTTCATCTCTTGATGGACACTTAGGTTGCTTCCAAATCTTGGCTATTGTGAAAACTGCTGCAAAAAACAGTGGAGTGTAGATATCTCTCTGATATACTGATTTCCTATCTTCTGGGGTGTGTAGAGAAAACTCTTTAATCATATTTTTCCTCTACTCTCACACCACAATGGTCATCAACACAGGAGACTTCTGTGACCATATGTGTGCGATTCTTTTCCCCGCACACCAGGGAGCAGACATCAGCTGTTAATTCAGTTCAACGCTACCCAGAGATAGTGTCATATCCTACAAGTTGAGGGCTCAGTCCCCGAGTCCTTCCCCCACCACACCAGTCTGGGCCTCTGTAACTTCCGACCAACCAGCTTCAAGTTGGGGTTCCCACGACCCTCTCTTTGAGTTCAATTAATTTGCTGAAGTAGCTCCAAAAATTCAAGGAAACACTGACTTATATTTACTGGTTTACTATAAAGGATATTGCAAAGAATACAAATAAAGAGACGTGTGGGATGAGGTGTAGGGGAAGGGGTGTGGAGCTTCCATGCCCTCCCTGGGCACACCACCCTGCAGGTATCCAAAAACTCTCTGAGCCCTGTGCCCTTAGATTTTCATGATGTCAGCATTCCTTCCCCCAGGGTACAGGGTGGGACTCCCCTCATGGGAGGGCCTTAAGACCCACATCAGAAAGGCAAGCTAAGATTAGAGTCTTGTTTTGGATCAAGTGAAAGGAGGGCAGAGGAAGGTCAGAGGCCCACTTCTGAGGCCTAACATACCCAACATTGTAACAAAAGACTGTAACAAGGGCTTTGGGAGTTGTAAGCCAGAATCCATGCATGAAAACCAATACGTTTCATAACACCATGTGGGTACATAGCTAGCAGCGGGATTCTTGCCATTCAGGTGACAGGTGACTTCCTATGTCCCCAGAGAGGCCTTCTGTGACCACTCCATCTGTAAGAACTACTGGTCACTCTCTGTTTCATCACTGAATGTGTTGATTCATTGTCTCAATTTCACTACTGAATTTTATTTCTTCATCATTTATTTATTTATCTATTTATGGATTGCTTTCTGTTGCCTCCATGTCTGCCTCATAAATGAGCCATGAAAAGAGAAACTAACTGCCTTGTGCATTACTATATCCTCAGCACCTAGAACCATGCTTGGGACATAGTTGTCACTCAGGTAGTATTTTTTATGTGAGTGAATGAATGAAAGAATGAATGAATTCTCTTTCATATTAATTGTGGTAGGAAGAAATTGTCATAGTAGGCAGATAGCTAGATGTAAGCAGCGAGAGTAGTAGGGGAGTCACTGAGGAAAAGGGAGGTCTGGAAAATCTCACACCCCAGGGATCACCCGAAACACGTGTGCTGGATATAAGCAAAGAGATGGGGAAATACTTATGTGGGAAGAATCGCCCAGAAATCACCCACCCTGCAATTAACCTGTCGGAATGTAGCTAGCTACATGCTGATAAAGAGGGAAAGAGGGTGAAGTGAAATTCCTAAGAGATATGCAGGCATAAAAAGTACAGATTTAACTGCTATACAGCCTTCCTGGGGTGATGGTAATGAGCAATGTAGCCCTTAGGTAGAATTTGTGTCCAACACCAGGTCCACACATGCATGCCAACTAATAGTAAGAGAGATCCCACCAATCTGAGGCAGGAACTAGGCAGGGAAAACGCAGGGACTTAAGGCAGCAGCAGGAAAAACTAGATGAAGGAAAAAGGTGGAGACTTAAGACAGAGATGAGAATTTCAAGAAAAAATCCGTCATGAAAACCTAGTGCAAAACTCTTGGGGCTACTGCTGGTTCATTCTCTGTGAGTAGCCCACTATGCCCCATCTTTTAGAGTGTACTGTCTCTCTAAATGAACGCTCTGCTCTAATTTTGCTTCAATAAATTCTCTTTTTGGGCTAAGTGGTCTCTTGGTGGAATTCTTTCTTGCAAGTCAGTCTAGGAACCAAGGACTCTGCTCTTCCCAGTAACAAAATCACATTAATTATTTCCATGAACTTGTCGCCCAGGAGTATCTGGCTTCCCATCCCTGACACCTTTTAATCTCTCAAAAAACATCTGCCTGGGGTTATTCTACTCTTTACCTATTAAACTCTACTATTAAAAAAACCAAACTTATTCACATATATAACATTGATGATTCTAAAAGCCCTATAGGTTTATCTCTCACATTGATATGTAATTGTTCTGAAATTTATTTTTGTGAGGAAGAAGTTGATACATGCTTTTTCCATGTGAACATCCAATGGTCCCATCCATTTCTCACTGCACCGCAATATCACATTTTTCATAAATCAGGTGAATCTGTTTCTGAACTCTCTATTCTGTGCCATTAGTAATTTTAATCTATATTTGAGCCACACTGTCTTAACTACTAAATATAATGCATCACATAAGAATATAATTAATTATAGTTTTTAAGAGATCTTTATGTTTAGTGCAAGTCCTCTAGTTTTTTTTCTTCTTCTTCCTCAGGCTTGCCTTGCCCATTTCTAAACTTTTACATTTTCTTATAAATTTTAGATTAATGTCATCCATTTCTGAAAAACAAAAACAGACAAAAACTCCTGCCAGTATCTGATTGAGATTGATTTAGTAGTTTAAATTAAAACTGTATGACAAAATATTTTGTAATCATTAAAATTATACATACAACAAACTCATAAAAACTGAAGAAAAACATTTTAGTAATATTAATAATAGCAAATAATATTATCCTAAGCATCATACATGAATAATTTTATTGAATTGTCATAAGTATATCAGAAATGTATTACTTTTACCATTTCATAGCTGAAGAAATGAGAGCTCAGATACATGATTTAGATTATGCAGTATCACACAGTGAGTGATAGAGCTAAAAAAGAAATCCTAGTCTGTACTCTCATGAAAAAGTCAAAGTTTTGGTCACCTAGATTTTTAAAAAGCATATTGAATGGAATTCTTCCTAAAATAAATTATAAACCTGTTTTGCCTTCTTGCAAACCTAAAGAATACAATTATATATTTTCATTTCCATTTCTGGACACTATTATGAATATTAGTGATTTGCTTAAACCATAATACAGTGTTATCCTAGGGCTCTATTATCATACCTAGGATTATTTTCTGTTGCATTAAATTATCTGAAAATAACCCAATCTTTCTTTTTTTAGCTTCTCTTTTGGACTTTTCTAACTTAAATATGTTAACTTACCTTAACTCTTTCCACTTGTTTCTTGCTGTGTGTTTTTAAGTTGATTTAATAAACCATGTAATCCAAGCATTTTAATCTGGTCCATGAGGCTTTCTGGTATTTCTGGTCTGGAATAGCTTTCTTGAAACTGTACTTAAAGGCAATCATCACATGAAGGCAATTTCCTACAGGGCAGCTAAGTATAGCAAAGAAAATAAATAAAAAGAGTGGAGTCTCTGATGACACAGTTTGACAGGTGAACCAAACAATCTACTTGCCAAACAGGATAGAAAAATCTTTCTCTGATCTGGCATAGTACATATTTAATGAAATATTTGTATCTGATGACAAATTAATAAATTTTAAAATATATTTTATGTTAACCAGGTGCCTCAAAACATAACACTTTGCCCAACTTTTGAAATAACTGGCAGATTTATCCTGTATTCATGTACCGTTGTACTAATATTTTCCAAATATTCTGGCTTTAGAAAAATTTAATAATAGGTTTCTATTTCAAGATGAAAGATTTGCCATACATCCTTGTCTTTCATAATCCCTGAGTTTCCACTGAAAAAATAAAATAACTTAAAGTATTATAAATATGCAACCAATTAAGGAGAAAAGATGAGCACGTTAAAAAAAAAGTTTTTAAAAAGTTATGACAGATAAAAAATAAATAAAGAAGTAAATGATGTAACAGGATAAAGAAAAGGTAGCCTAGAAGAGAGATGGCTCTAGAAGAGGGGAATGCAATACATTTTGAGGCAGAACTCTGGAGAGGCCCAGAATTCAAACTATGAAGTTGTCTAAATGAATCTCTGAATCCAGAACATTTGAGCTCATACTACATTCCCTAACTTTTCCAACCACATGTAGAAACATGGACAGTCAGATAACTGTATCCTATGTAAAAACATAAAAATAAAAATAAAATTTTTTTTTAAATCAGAGGGTTCTTTCACAAAGAGGTTAATGAAGTATCTGAGACTACCTAAGGCAGAGCGATCAGACATCAATTTTTCCAGAGCAAAGACCTCTACATGTGGGTACTGGGGGTCTTGAAACACACATGGCCTGCTCCCTTTTGTTTCTATAATGTGAAGACTATAGAAAATAAGTTAATAAGCTAAAGTTAATAAGCCCACCTACCTTTCCAGAGCAGCCAAGTGTCATGCATTACTACCAACTATTTGAGGAAATTTGGTAACCTGAAAGAAAGATAAAGCTAAAAACAAAAAGAAGAAAAACCTCTAATCATTTAACTTAGGAGAAAGAAGGATTTAAAAAAAAAAGAAAGAAAGAAAACTTCAGAACAGACAAAATTCTAGTTAGCTTCTGTAGAGAAACTTGAAGAGTTTTCATTCACATAAAATAAGCAGTGGAGGCCACGAAGAAAGACAAAAAACTGTTGGAAATTAAAAGTATGATAAAAACAAAAGGAAATAAAAATAAAAGAAGAATCAATTAAAAGATAGAAATATAAAACCTAAGATATATCTGGAAAGAAGAAAGAAGAGATTAAAACTGAGCAAAACATGAAAGAAAAAGAAAATTAATTTAGAAGACCCAGTGAGATGCAAAGAAATTTCCAAAAAACAAATTGACAGAAATAACTTATCAAAGAAAAAAACATCAAAAAAATTGAGACACTAATTTTGCAGAAGGGAAACACTGAATGCTACCATCGAATGCCAAAAACAATAAATGAATGAAAGCCCATGCAATATCCTCATGGATGTTTAGAATACCAGAGAAATGGGGAGAAAATAAAATAAAATGAGATTACCTAGTAACTAACAAGAATAAGAGGGTGTCTTAGTTCATTTGTGTTGCTATAAAGGAATACCTGAGGTTGGGCGATTAATAAAGAAAAGAGGTTTACTTGACTCACAGTTCTGCAGGTTGTACAAGAAGCATGGTATCAGTATCAAGCATGGTATCAGCATTTGCACCTGGTGAGGGCCTCCGAAAGCTTCTCCTCAATGGGAGAAAGTGAAGTGGAGAAGGCATCACATGACAGAGAGGAAGCAAGAAAGGAGGAAGTGCCAGACTCCTTTCAACAGCCAGTTTTTGCAGAAACTAAGAATGAGAACTCACTCACATTCACAAGAATGGCACAAAGCTATTCACAAGGGATCCACCTCCATGATCCAAACACTTTCCATCAGTCCCCACCTCCAATGTTGGGGATCAAATTTCAACATGAGACTTGAAGGCGACAAATAAACTACATCCGAATCTTAGTGGAGGGCATCAAATTTCTTAAAGATCCCCAGGATTTGTAAAGCACTCCAAAGTCAGGGTAGGAATGGAGTTAGGAAATAATGCAATTATAGGTGAGGGAAACAAAAATAATAATAATTAATTAATCAAATTCAGAAATAAATCATAGAAAATTTCTACAGAGTTAATAACAGCAATTCCTAAATTTCTTTACATTAAGTCAAAACATAGATAATACATTTATTTTATTTTATTTTATTTTATTTTATTTTATTTTATTTTTTTGAGACAGAGTCTCACTCTGTTGCCCAGGCTGGAGTGCAGCTCCACCTCCCGGGTTCACACCATTCTCCTGCCTCAGCCTCCCGAGTAGCTGGGACTACAGGCACCTGGCCAATTTTTAATATTTTGTTTAGTGGAGACGGAGTTTCACCGTGTTAGCCAGGATGGTCTCAATCTCCAGACCTCATGATCCAACCGCCTTGGCCTCCCAAAGTGCTGGGATTACAGGCGTGAGCCACTGCACCCAGCCAAATTTTTTAAAAATACATTTTCAATTTTGCCAACTGGGTACCCTATGTCCCCTGACAGATCTTCTGGTTTAGAACAGTTCAGGTTACTACATTGGTTTAAATGTGAGCCCCCAAATTGAAGTGTTGGAAAGTTAATTCCTAACGCAGCAGTGTTGAGAGATGCGTCCTTTAAAAGGTGATTAGGTCATGAGGGTTTTGCCCTCGGCAGTGGATAAATATTGCTGAGTGAGCTAGTTATAATGGGAGTGGGCTTTTGATAAAAGGATCAGTTCTACCCTCTTCCCACTCTCTCCTGCATGCTCTCTTGCCTTTCTACCTTCCACCATGTGATGCATTAAGAAAGCCGTCAAAAGATTTTAGCCCCTCAGTCTTAGACTTGTCAGCCTCCAGAACTATGAAAAATACATTTTTATTAATCATAAATTACCTAGCCTTTAGTATTCTGCTACAGCAGCATGAAACAGACTAAGAAACTGGTACTGAAAAGTGGGGTTGTTGTTACAAAAAAAAAGTCTGAAAATGTGGAAGTGGCTTTGGAACTGGGTAATGGGCAGAGGCTGAAGTAATTTGGAGAAGCAGGCTAGAAAAAGCCTAGATTGCTGTGAGTGGAGTGCTAAGGGCAACTCTGATGAGGGCTTGTAAGAAGACAAGCAGTGTAGGGAGAGCCTAAATCTTCTTAGGAATTATATAACTGGACATGATCAGAATGCTGGTAAAACTATAGACAGCAAAGGCCACTCCAATTAGGTCTCAGATGGAAATAAGGAATAAGGTATCGGAAAATGGAGCAAAGACCATCCTTCTTATACAGTTGCAAAGAAATTGGTGGAATTTATGTCCATGTTTTAGGACTTTGTGGAAGACAGAACTTAAGAACAATGAACTACGCGACCTTGTGGCCCAGTGGTAGTGCGTCTGACTCCCAGAAAAATGAACTATGATACCTGACAGAAGAAATATCTAAACACTGGAGCACTCAAGGTGCTATGTGACTTCTTTTGGCTGCTTGCAGTAAAATGAATAAAAAAGAAAAATAGTGTAAAGAAGGAATTTATAATTAAAAGGGAAGCAGAAAGGAAAGATTTGGAAAATTCTCAGCACGGCCATGTACAGAATAAAAAGGTGTGTTCAGGAAAGAATATTAAGGGTTTGGTCAATTGACCATTTGCTAAAGAGATTAATATCGATAGAAGGAATCCAGGTTCTATTTACCAAGATAATGTGAGAGTGACCCCCAAGGCATTTCAGAGATCTTCCAAGCAAGCTAGAATCTTGAGGTCAAGAGAAGCATCCAGCAGGACCTCAGGATCTGCTGCCCAGAACCACTTTAGGACTTTGCTCCCACATTCCCCAGTGCAGTCTTTTCGGCTGCCCCAGCTCAAGCTGGCCCAGGTGGAGCTCAACTGCCACCCTGGAGGACACAATATATGGGTCTTGGCAGCATCCATGTAGTGCTAATTCTTCAGGCTTGCAGAGTACATGAGTTGTGGGGCCCTGGCTGCCCCCATTTAGATTTCAAAGGATGTTGTGGCTGCCTGTAAACCCAAGAAAAACTTGCCAGAGGGGCAAAGCCACTGCGGAGTCCTCACCAGGGTAATGTCTAGTGGATTCATGGGAGTGCAACCACTTCCAAGTCTGTAGATCTGTACACCTACCAGTATGCAATGTCAGTCTGGGAAAGCTGCAGGCATGAGAGGTGCTGCATGAGCTGAGCCCAGCAAACCCATAGGACCAGGCTGTCTGTGGCTCTGGAATTCAATCCCCACCCCAGTATGTCCTGGAATCTTAAAATTTAATGTCTACTTTTGGGGTCTGGGACTTGTTTGGGGTCTGTTACTCATTTCTTCTTGGCTATTTCTCCCTTTTGGAATAGAATTGCCTATCTTATGCTATGGGGAAAAGAAAGAGGTATCACACTGTTACTGTGTCTATGTAGAAAGAAGCAGACATAAGAGACTCCATTTTGTTCTGTACTAAGAAAAACTCTTCTGCCTTGAGATGCTGTTAATCTGTAACCTTATCCGCAACCCTGTGCTTGCAGAGACTTGTGCTGTGTTTACGCAAGGTTTAATGGATTTAGGGCTATGCAGGATGTGTTTTGTTAAACAAGTGCTTAAAGGCAGTATGCTTGTTAAAAGTCATCACCATTCTCTAATCTCAAATACGCAAGGACACAAACACTGCGGAAGGCCCCAGGGACCTCTGCCTAGGAAAGCCAGGTATTGTCCAAGGTTTCTCCCCATGTGATAGTCTGAAATATGGCCTCGTGGGAAGGGAAAGACCTGACCATTCCCCAGGGACACCCATAAAGGGTCTGTGCTGAGGAGGATTAGTGAAAGAGGAAGGCCTCTTTGCAGTTGAGATAGAGGAAGGCGTCTGTTTCCTGCTCCTCTCTGGGCAATGGAATGTCTAGGTGTAAAACCCGATTGTATGTTCTATTTACTGAGATAGGAGAAAACCGCCTTAGGGCAGGAGGTGAGCCATGCTGGTGGTAATGCTCCTCTTTAATGCACAGAAATGTTTGTGGAGATGTATGTATACACGCACATCAAGGCACAGCACCTTTCTTTAAACTTATTTATGACACAGAGATCTTTGTTCACATGTTTTCCTGCTGACCCTCTCCCCACTATTACCCTATTGTCCTGCCACATCCCCCTCTCAGAGATGGTAAAGATAATGATCCATAAATACTGAGGGAACTCAGAGACCCGTGCCGGCTCAGGTCCTCTGGGTCCTCCATAGGCTGAGCATATGCTAAGCCTATGCTGAGCACCGGTCCCCTGGGCCCACTTTTGTTTCTCTATACTTTGTCTCTGTGTCTCTTTCTTTTCTCAAGTCTCTCGTTCCACCTGATGAGAAACGCCTACAGGTGTGGAGGGGCTGGCTCCCTTCACTATGCCTGTTCCATGATTGTACTTTGAAAGTATGTAACTTGTTTTGATTTTACAGGCTCATAGCTGGAGAAAAATTTGCCTGAGGTTTTATTGTGCTTTGAGTCTTAAGCATATGTCATTTGGTGAGACTCTGGACTTAGGATATTTGAATTGGTGCTGGAGCTAGTTAAGACTTCAGGGCTATTGGGATGGAATTAATATATTTCGTATGTGAAAAGGACATAAATTTTGGGGAATGGTGACAGAATGCTATGGCTTGAATGTGTCTCCTGACATTCACATATTAGAAACTTAATACCCAATGCAACAGTGTTAAGAGGTGGGATGTTGCCGGGAGCAGTGGCTCACTCCTGTAATCCCAGCACTTTGGGAGGCCGAGGCAGGTGAATCACGAGGTCAGGAGATTGAGACCATCCTGGCTAACACGGTGAAACCCCGTCTCTCCTAAAAATATAAAAAAATTAGCCGGGCGTGGTGGCAGGTGCCTGTTGTCCCAGCTACTTGGGAGACTGAGGCAGGAGAAGGCCTGAACCCGGGAGGCAGAGCTTGCAGTGAGCGGGAGATCTCGCCACTGCACTCCAGCCTGGGCGACAGAGCGAGACCCGTCTCAAAAAAAAAGAAAAAAAAAAAAAAAAAAAAAAAAAAAAGAGGTGGGATGTTTAAGAGGTGACTAGGTCATAAAGTCTCTGACCTCATGAATGGATTAATGCCTTTATCCTGAGAGTAGATTAGTTATTATGGGAGTGGATTCCAATAAAAAGATGGGCACCCTTGCTGTTCTTTCTTGCACACTCTCTTGCCCTTCTGTCATGTTATAATGCAGCAAGAAGTCCTTCAGAAGATGCTGGCCCCTCAATCTTGGACTTCACGGTCTTCAGAACTCAAGAAATAAATTACTGTTCATTATAATTACCCAATCCAGGGGTCAGGAGTAGGAGCTTTAATCCCAGAACTGTGGGAGGCCAAGGCACAAGAATCACTTGAGCCCAGGAATTTGAGACCACCCTGGGCAAAATAGCAAGACCACCCCCATGTCTACAATTAACTAATCAATAGCTCAGCCTTGGGCATTCAGTTAGCGGCAAAAAATAGACAAAGACTTTTACCTTTTCAATGAATTATGATAATTACAAGTGTCTCAAAACAGAGACAAGAGATACGAGTAGGGGAAAACTACTACACAATTTTTCTCTTTTAATTAATCTGAAAACAGAATGGATTTACTTTCCTAGTATCACTTCCTTATTGTTTCCCTCTTCTATATTTTCTTTTTCCACTCCTTCCTCAACTTTACAAAAGTTTTTCAGAGTCTTTTTATGATTCTCATCCACATTAAATAATTGCCTGCTGGGAAAAAAAAAGGTAGCATTGTATATGATATAGAATAATTTGTTTCTGCAGCAGTCACAATCTCTTAAGCCTAGCTAGCCTTGGCTCTCTTGTCTGTAGCATGAG